CCCCCCGCCACCCCACAGCGGCCCACATTTAGAGTTTGTAAATGCAGCGCTCTGTTATCAAGTGCGCAACGTGCACACAGTCCTGTGCCAGGGGCCTCGGGGGACCGAAGGCGTGTAATCAATCCCGTCCCAGGGCGCTGGCTGGGCGGCGGGGGAGGGGTGCAGCATGGAAAGGCCATAAAAGCTAGGAATGTTGGGAGGATTAAATGGAACCATGTGTGGAACAGCAAAGCCTGGTCCGCTGAAAGGGCCCTCCCCGAGTCTCCGCACTCCCTGTGGTGGCTTGTACAAAGCAGGGCGAGCCAGCAGAAGCTGAAACAGCACCGCGGGATCCACCGGAGGGCACGCTCGCATCCCGTCGGGGGAACCCAGGGAAGGCGTCATGAAAGAGTGGCATTTGAGTTGGTCTTTTAAGGACAGTGAGGATCCTGGGAGCAATTTCCAGCTCTGTCACTTAACAGCCACGTGAACTTGGGCAAGTTGCTTGATCGTTTGAAGCCTCGGGCTCCTATCTCGAAAACGAGAATACTACTTTTCTTATTGGAGTGTTTCATTTAGCGCAGCGCCTGATGGAGTACATCTGGAACTGGGAGCTGTTGTTACTTAAGAATTAAAAGCGGGGGATACTTGACGAGTACAGACAGTACGGGCAAGGTCACGGAATCAGCAGAGGCTAGAGTCAAGGGCAAGGGAAATTGCATCTCCAAACAGTCATAACCTCTCCTCAGAGCTGTACTCCTGCCATGTGATAAGCCCCCCCAGAATGGGAACTAACACGATAGTGCGCCATAAGCATTTGTGGCCTGAACGGACGTCCTTTAGGATCCTCAGACTGAGTTACGTCTCAGCCCCTCTCCCCAAGGCTGCCTCGATGGAACTTGCATTCTCAAACCTGACTAAGCCCATCCCCGTGGCCCGGTTTCCCAGACTAAAAACCCCGGAGATGACCTTGAGTCCTCTCTACTCCTCCCCCTACTACTGAGAAGTCACGGATTCCCAGAAATGCCTGCTGACTTTGTCATCCCCGCGCCCCCAGCGCCCGGGTGCCTGTCTCTGCTAAGCAGCCGCCTTCTATCTTGTCTTCCCGCAGCCTGCGCGGCCTGGGGGCCCGAGATAAAGCTGGAGCGCCAGGGCCCGCCCGGCCTGTGGCCGACCCTACCGCTTTTCTCTGCCTACACAGGCTTCCAGCAGGGGATCAAAGGCGCTTGGTGACCCAATTGCTTAAGATTTCTTGCCATTTCATCCTTAAATCCTTACACCCTGCGCCCAAGCCAGTCCCAGTGTCCCGCCTACGACCTCCTCTGCGCTGCACATTTGTACCTACTAGCAGCTGCTCTGTGTTCTCTTCTCTGAAGCTTTGTGCAGGCGGAGCCAAGCTCAGAGACAGAGACAGAGATATTTATAAGTACAAAGTGGGTGTAAACTTCTGCAGTCGCCAACATTTTAAACAAGCCCAATTCCACCTCCTCTCCGTTCGAACGTTGAAATTCCTGTCCACCACCTCCTCTTCCATCTCTTCCGAAAGCCTGTGAGTTCCTGTCCTCTCAATAAGCCTGGAAACCTTGGTGGCTACGAGATGTGACCTGGGAAGAAGCGAGGGAAATACAAACAGCATCTATAGGCAGCTGCGCAGAGTAAAAGGTATTGAGATGACATAAACGTACCTACTATCTAATAGGATGTTTTTTTTTAATGGCCTATCTCATGTCCTGCCCCTACCTATATCCGTTAGCGCACACCCATAAAACACCCACATCTGCAAAATATTACCCCCATTTTACTGAGAAAAGTGAAGCTCAGAAGGGCTAAGTCACTTACCCCAAACTAGTAAGTGACAAAGCCAGGATTCAGACCTGGGCCTGCAAGTCTGAGGAACTTCTAATAGTATGCTACGCACATGTATTGAGTCTTGCTATTTTTTCTGCATTAAAATAGGGGGACAGACTTAAGTTAAACACAAAACTCCGTGCAGGGGAACCTATGACTTTATAATAGTGAAAGGGTCAATGTCGCATGTTATGCTTGCATACTGAGAAACCCAACAAACTGGCTTAATGAAGAAAAGGAATTGATTGGCCCAAGTAACAGAAATGGCCAGCAGTTAATCAAGTGGTTGGAACAAGGGCATCGGGATTCCCACTGTTCTCATGCCTTCCGTCCATGGGCCTCTGCCTGGTTTCCCCCTCAGACGGGCTCACTCAGTGTAGCAGCAAGAGGCCAAAGGGCAGCTCTACTCACGTGACTTCTTAGAGCTTGTAATTCCAGAGAACAAACAAGTATCTCCTAAGGAGGCTCCAGTAAAAATCCCCTGGAGGAGCCTGGCGGGGAAACACAGGGCCGTCAGTAAACCATTCAGCGTGTCTGGAGCGCTCCGCTGCTCTCCCAGCCAGGCCTGAGTCACAGGCTCAGGCTGAAGGGCTCGGGATCCGGGCTCCACCCCCCTGGAACCATATACTTTGAGCTGGGGGGGCGTGGCTCATCAACGGAAGGTTTTGCAGTCCAGTCAAAAGAAGGAGTTTGAATAGAAGGGGAAAGAAAACAACACGATCCACCAAGAACATACAACCTCTGAAGACCCGTGAACCTGAGATGAGCACAGGGGTTGACGCGGAGCCTTCTATGTGCCGATATGTCCATAGATTATCTCTGTCACCCCATCAAGCAGATTCTACCCCCATTTTTTTTTTTAAAGTGTGAAAAATTGAAGCTCAAATTGAAACAACTTGTTAGGAAGGGGCAGAGCTAGAATTCAGACCCGGCTATGTTTGACTCCAAACCCTGCGGGCTTTCCACAGCGGGACACTGCCAAGCTGGGAGGAGCCAGTTGCAAGGAGCCTTTGGGTAGGACTGATAGAGGAACACTGGGGAGCCATGGCCTTGCGGGAATTCACTGCCAACCATACAGACGTGCCCTGAGGGCAGCTTGGCACCAGGCTGGGAGGCCGTGCACAGCTCCCAGCCAAGCCGCTGAGAAATGCTTCACGTGCATCAGCACGGTGTCCTCTCTCAGTGGGAAGAGTGAGCTACCGGGGAGCCGCCCCCCATCCTTACTTCCGACCGAGGCAATGAATTACCTGGTGCTGTTGGTATCACAGGGGCCACAGGAGAAAGTTGGATCGAGAAGGAAGAGCCATTGGGGGGGTGGGGGGGGCAGGGCATGGAATGAATGGGTCCTAGAAAAGAAGTTGAAAAAATTGCGGAAAAGTTATGAGCCCGTGTTTAGAGGCCTACATGGGAATGTGGCCAGAAAGGGATAGAAAGCTCTAAAAATGGAAAATGAGGACTGCCCATTTGCAGAAACCCTTGCACAGTGCAAGGCGGTGAGCTGAAGAAAGCAGCGTGGCTCTGTAGAAAGCCCTCCGACACTCGAACGTGAAGAGGCAGGGTATAAGACGTAGAAGGAAGAGAAGGAAGTCCTGGATAAACTGAGACTTGGAAAAGGTGCAGACGGTAAAAGCCACCTTTGGTTATGTGCAGAGCATGAGGAATAAAGAGAGGATTCATCATATAGGGTTCCACTTGGGGGTGGAGGTGTCAGATTAGCAGTTGTCAGAAAGCAAAATACTCAGCCCCGATTTGCTTTCTCCCGCAAGGAAGAGCATTTCTAAACTGGGTCGAGTAAAGCAAAACATGATTTAGAGGATATTGAAACTCCAAATAGAAGATAGTAAGGGAAAACCTAAGCACCTAGCCATTTATAATAAGGTGCAAATCCCAAAGCGTCAAAAACCTTTGCAGAGAGGATCCCGGAATGCTTGCCGAGGTAGGTGAGAGAGCTGGGGAGAGAGAGAAAGGGGCCACAGAGCCTGAAGGCTGCAGATGTCCTGACACTGAGAAAAGAGGAAAAGGTAGATTCTGGAAACTCGAGGTGGGTATATTTGAGGTGAATTCCTCCCCCAAATTTATTCTAGCATATAATATTAGACTGTGGGTTTGAGAACCCCTAGAAAAAGAATCAGTATCTTCACTAAGAGCAAGATAAGGTAGATGATAATACCAACAGTAATTTATTATTTATCTGGATGGCCACGAGGAAAATTCCCTGGACATGGTGTGCCTCGTTTCCAGTTAGAAATCGGAATGTTTCCCAGTTGAGGAGACTACCAGGGAAACCGTGATCTCAGAGATCACCCAGTCAGGTGGATTTATAACCCATTCACCAGTGTGCCCCTCTCCCCCAAGTTGGTGACTCACTGGGTGCACATCTGGGAGAAGTCTTAAAGTTCCATGCTCCCGACTGCGGTCAGCTCAGTAGTTTCCGTGCCTGCCACACTCACCATGTTTGCAGATGGCACTGCTACTGGGAGGGAAGGTGAACATTTGGATGTCAGAATCAAGCTTCTAAAGTATCTTGAAACAGGGCTGAGAGCAACAGGATGAATGAACAAGCAGTGGAAAGACTTGATTTATTTTATCTATTTATTTTAGCTTAAAACAGTGCACATTCATTGTCTTACAGTTCTGTAGACCAGAAGTCTGGAAACGGGTCTTACAGGGTTAAAATCCAGATGTTGGCAAGGCTGCATTTCTTCTGGAGGCCCTAGGGGAGGATTCTGCCATGCCAGGTCCAAGCTGTGTTCCTTGGCCTGTGGCTTCTTCATCCATCCTCAAAGCCAGCCGCGTAACATTTTCCAGTCTTGGAAAGACCTGTGTTTGGACTTGATTTGATTTCCTTAATGAGCTGCACAAGCACAGGATGAAGGAAGTTTGTCTTGACAGTGGTGCCGGTGGAAGAGGCTAGGGGCTTTCCGCCGATGTCCGTTGGAGTTGAAACCAGTAGCAGTGGAGCCGCTACCAGAAAAGATAGTAGTTCTCCCCATCCCTTCTCATTTTAGGTGTAAAAGGGTGAGACTGAAAGTGTGTATGTCTCCCTATAACCATTCCTCTCCCCAGGAGGAGTCAGCCTGATGCAGATCCTCCAAGAGGTATTCTGTGCACATAAAAGCAAATGGGTACTTTTTAATGTAAATGATAGCATACTGTACACCTTGTTTTTTTTTTCACTTAACAGTAAATCTTAGAGATTATTTTATGTCCCTTATATGAAATAATTCCTCATTCTCTTATAAAGGGTATATAGTATTTTATTGTATGTGTGTGTGTATATATATATACAGTTTAATATATATACCTCAGATATATGTATATATATGTGTATATATATATATATATATCAGAATTTATTCGATGGGTCCTCTGTTGCTGGACATGTAGATTATTTCCAATATTCTGCTATTACAAACAATGCTACAGTGAATAGCATGTCATTTCAAACATATGGGCATGTATCTGAGAAGCAGCTTTTCAAGAAGTGGAATCACTGAGTCAAAGGGCATGTACGTTTTTAAATTTGGTAGGTATTGTCCAATTACCCAGTTGTTCCAGTTGACTATCCCACTAGCAATGTATGAATGTGTTTTTCAGCCTTGTCACCAATAGAGTGTGTTATAAACCTTAGTGCTCTTTGACAACTTGAGAGGTAAAAAAATGATGGCATCACATTATGATTTTCTTATTCTAATAGTTATTTGTATTTTCTTTTTTATTAACTGTTTATATCTTGTACTCATTTTTTACTGAGTTGTTTTTTTCTCCGAACTCTTTATATATTAAAGAAATTTGCTCTTTGTGATATGAATTACAAATACGTTTTCCATTTTGTAGTTTGTCTTTTGTTTTTGTTTTTTTTTTAAGTACGCTTCACACCAAGTGTGGAGCCCATCGTGGGGCTTGAACTCAACCCTGAAATCAAGACCTGAGCTGAGATCAAGTGTTGGATGAACTGAGCCACCCAGGTGCCCCTCTTTTGATTTTGTTTCTGGCAGTTTTGCTGTGTAAATATGTTTCTCTCTTAAGCTGTAGGAAATGTATCCATCAATTTTTTTTTATGACTTCTGGATTTTATGTCATACTTCAAAGTTCTTCACTCTGAAATTTTTAAAAAATTATCACTTGATTTCTTTCAGTACTTTTTTGATTTAATTTTTACATTTAAATATGCAATCCACTTGTTATTTGTTTTGGTATAAGACATGATGTATGGATCCAACTTACTATTTTTCCAAATGGCTACACATTGTTCCCATACAATTTATTGAATCATGTCTCTTTTCTTCTCTGATTTAAAATCCCACTTTTAGGGGTGCCTGGCTGGGTCAGTAGGTGGAGCTTGTGACTCTTGGGGTGATGGGTTTGAGCCCCATGTTGGGTGTCGAGATTACTAAAATAAATAAATAAATAAACTTAAAATCCCACTTTTGTAGTATTCTAATTCCAGTATGTATTTGGATCTAATACTGGATTTTACATTCCATGCCACTGATCTACTTCTTTTGATACATATAAAAGAAATTATAGTGTATTGATATTTTAAATTACATTTCAAATGAAAGCAATAAGTTTGTTAGAAAAAGTTTGGGAAATAGAAAAAATTCTACAGAGAAAATATCATCCCTGAACCTACCAAAAATAACTAAATATTTTGGTGTTTATTCATCCAGTCTTTTCCTATGTAATTGTATTTTTTTTACCCAACTGATATGATACTATGTAAGCCTAATTTTCCATCCCCCAAATCTAGTGTGATGTGATCTCAATGCCCTAAGTGAAACCAGTGATTATCTTACCCAGAATCCACTCCTTTTTTGCCATCCTCCCAGATACCCATGCAAGAGGTGGACTCTTCCAGCTCCTTCCCAACCCCCTCATTCTAGTCACCAAGCCCTCTTATTTTCCGTTCATAGACTCATAGGCCCTAGTCTGTGAAATCCTCTCAATATACAGTTGAAGAAAACCAAGAGAGGGGAAAATATCCTGTAAAAGTTAGAATGCTTTTAGCTGCAAGAAACAGAGGATTCAGCTCAAAATGGTTCAACCAAGAAGGGGATTTATCATCTCCCATAATGAGAGGTCCATAGGAGGGTAAATCCAGAATGTGTTAACTCAATGGCTCAGTGATATCGAGGACCATGATCCTTGACATCTGTCCATTCTGTCATCCCCAGTGTATTAGCTTTTGTCCTCATGCTTTTCCCCACATGGTTGCAAGATGGTGGCAGTAGCTCCAAGTATCATCTTCTCACACCATATTACAGATAGCCTGGCAGAGGGCATGACCCTTTCTAATCCCACATTGCCCAAAGCAGGAGCTGAGGGTACTTGGGAAAAGTGGGAGAGCATTTTGGGTTGTCACAATGATTGAGAGACACTATTGGCATCTAGTTGGCAGTGGCCAGGGATAGTAGATGTCCTATGATGTTTAGGACAGTTAGGCGAAACGTGAGCTCTCATTCCTTACAACATTAATGTAGGTGAAAAAACAAAACCTGTTTTTCCATACAAAACAAGCTTCTTTGCATGGTTTTAGTGCACACTGGACAGCACACCCTTGTGTCAGCATGTGTTTGTGGTTCT